GCCTGCAGCCCAATACACTTCTGTAAGCAATCTGAGGACTGGGCCACGTGGGGGAGGCAATTTTGTCTGCATGTTTGGAGCACTTTTGGGGATGCTCGCCCTAGCCAAGCTATGGGCTATTGTGAATCTCTGCAGAGCCAGTGTGGTGTAGTGGTTAAGAGCGGTAGTCATGTAATCTGGGGAACCGGGTTCGCGTCTCCGCTCCTCCACATGCAGCTGCTGGGTGACCTTGGGCCAGTCACATTTCTTTGAAGTCTCTCAGCCCCACTCACCTCACAGAGTGTTTGTTGTGGGGAGGAAGGGAAAGGAGATTGTTAGCCGCTTTGAGACTCCTGAAGGAGTGAAAGGCGGGATATCAAATCCAAACTCTTCTCTTCTTCTTCTTCAATGTTTCCAGCACTCGTAACTTATTTGACTCCCTGAACCCTGGGGTTATATGCAAAGCAGCACCAGCAGAGTTCTGCTAGCACAGTGGTGTTTCTGTTTCCTCCCCTTCCCCCAACCCCCCTGCCCCAGTCTGTGGAGCTGATCTTCAAGGCACTCATGGGACTATAGCAGAGAGGAGGGGAAGTTACTGTATTTTTCGCTCCATAAGTTTTTAGAGGGGGGAAGCAAGAAAAAAAATATTCTGTGCAGAGCATGTAAGCGGCTCTTGCTTTTCTTGCTTTAAGCAAGCAAAGCGAGAGCCGCTTACATGGCTTCTCTCCCGCTTTGCGCAGCTCTCACTTTGCTTCTCACCCGCCTCGCTGTAAAGCGCGGTGACGCCGGAGCAAGAGGAGGAGGAGGAGACACTGGGACAGGTGCTTTGCTGCTTTTACAGCGAGGCGGGAGGAGGAATGGGCAAGCAAAGTGAGAGCTGTGCCAAAGCGGGAACAGAAGCCATGTAAGCGGCTCTCGCTTTGTTTGCTCCCATCCATCCCTCCTCCCACTTTGCTGTGAAGCCAGCAGAGCAAGAGGCGCTGTGCAGCTCTTGTTGAAGCCAGCAGAGCAAGAGCGATTAGCTGCGCAGCCGCTCTTAGCTCTGCTGGCTTCACAGCGAAGCGGGAGGAGGGACGGATGGAGCCCTTACACGGAGCCCCTTCCGTCCTCCTCCCGCTTCGCTGTGAAGCCAGCAGAGCAAGCTGTGCAGCTATCGCTCTCATGAAGCCAGCAGAGCAAGAACCATAGCTGCGCAGCGGCTCTTGCTCTGCTGGCTTCACAGCGAGCGACGGACGGGAGCCATGGCTCCGGCTGCGGAGGCATCCCTCAGCTCACGACTGCAGCGTAGCCGAGGGATCCCTCTGCCGCCCAGTGCATTCGCTCCATAAGACACACAGACATTTCCCCTTACTTTTTAGGAGGAAAAAGGTGCGTCTTATGGAGCGAAAAATACGGTGCATTCCACTAGCACAAGTTGCTTGCACTTGCGGAGCAGATGCATTGGTTAACGCCCCCGGGATTTATAAGTTGGGCTGCTGAGGATCCTCTGTTCTAGATCCCTAGTCCTTCTTAGACTACCTCCCAGAACACTCTGCTTGGGAGAGTCAGCGGTAGATTGCAGCTTAGAACTTCTGTTAAATGCAGATCTTTTAAACTTAGATCTGCCTCCCATAAGCGGAGGGAGTGAACTTCCTTCTCTCAGCTTGAGATAAGCAACTGTGCTGACTTTCCCCTCTCTTTGCAGTCCCCTCCAGGGCTGCCCAGTCATTGTCCCAACGCTGAGCGCTGCCTTTGTGGATGAGGAACCTTCCTGACGGAACTCGCCTGCACCCAAGGACGACCTTCATCAAAACATTGGCGCATGAGGAACACTGGCAACATGGAGTGGAGCTCTGACACTAAGGTGCGTTCCAGTGCTTTAAGGTTATGTGCTGGAGCTGAGATCTCCCTGCAAGCGATGCCCTATTCCCCACAGTTTCTTCAGCCCAGATTTGTAGGTGCTGTTTTTGGTTACTCGGCAGCAACAGAAAGACACCCTGCAGAAGCACAACATACAGTGGACCCTCCGGATACGAACTTAATTCATTCCTGTACGTACCCCAAAAAGTCGGCAACATGAGGCGCCGCTTCTGCACATGCACGCAGCGCACAGAGCAGTGGCATAGCGTAGGGGTGCCAGGGGTGCCGGCCGCACTGGGTGCAACATCTGGGGGGGGCGAGTCCAGAGGGCCCAGCCCCGTCGTGCCCTCGGCCCGCCCCTATTGTCAGAGCGGCCGGCCAGCCTCCGCCTGCTCCTACCTTGCCCACCCGAGGACTGCGGCAGCACCCGCCCCTGTGGCCACCTACCCCCGCCTCGCCCATTGGCTTGCCTCCCTCGGCCCCGCCTCTCTCCGATGGCCGCGGGGGTGTCCTGCTCGGCGCCGGCGCCTTTTTCAGGAGGTAGGGAGGCTGGACGGGGAGGTGGGGTTGGAAGCGGGCAGAGAAGGAGGGGAGCTCGTAGCCAAAAGGGCTGCGTCGGCCGGCAAAGGGCCGGGGAAAGTTTGGAGAGGAGAAACGCACCGTCATGATTTCCCGGTGGAAGCGGCAGGATTAGGGATGGCGAAGCGTAATTACGCACGAATTTCGCTGGGTGAGAGCTTCGGGGATCGATCGGCGGAAATGGGAATCAATTGGAATATGAGAAAGAGAGAGAGAGAGAGGGACCATCATTCATAGGCGTAGATTTGTAGGGTTAGGGGGCGCAAATCCACGGCTTAGGGGGCGCAAATTACTTGCCTTGCCCCGGGTGCTGACAACCCACGCTACGCCGCTGGCACAGAGTGCTTCTGCACAAGGTGTGCAGATCTCTTTTGCGCATGCGCGCGCAGCGAAACCGGAAAGTATACGCTTCTGGGTTTGCTGCCTTCGCAACCTGAAAGTTACGTAACCCAAAGGTAGCGTAACCCAAGGGTCCACTGTACTGCTTTCTTATTATTTCACAGGCTTCAGTACTGAGCCCTGTTGCCATCCTTTGCCTATCACCGCCTGTAAATTATTTGGGTGAGGACTTGGTTTAGATTCTCAGCCAGCCAACAACCGACATGGGGCATTGGCCAGACTCCTAAAGCTGCAAAGCCCAAAGTGCCTTTGTGTTCAGGGCTGGGGAACCTTTGTCCATCCTCTCCCCCCGATGTTGCTGGACTACAACTCCTATCATCCCTGACCATTGGCCATGATGGCTGGGGCTGGAGGGAATTATAGCCTAACAGCTACAGTTTTCCCATCCCTGTCGTAGTTGTTCATTTTTGCTGCTGAGCAAATCCAAAGCCACAGGATTGATTTAAGAAACACAGTGAAAGCATTGACAAGCAGATTTTTTGTTTTTGTGTGTGTGTGGAAGGCGCAGTAGGAGACCATGTGTCCGTCAGATAAAATTGCTCTAACTGTGCCCCACAGCGCACACATTGCTTCTGAATTCGTTCCAAACTTAACCTGCCCTAGGTTGGGACACCATTATTTTAAAAGATATTTATTTATCATTTATCAAGTAACCCAAAACAATATGGGAACAGCCTTAGTCCCTCTGCCACCTTTGTTTGCCAGCCTTTCGGATTTTTTGTCTCCAAAGCTTGTCTAGTTAATTCCTTAGAACAGACTTGAGGGGGAAGCTAGGTTTAAAAAAAAAAAGTTTTTTTGTTGCGGAAAGATACTTGCGGTGAATTCACATGCTTGGCTGGGACCAGGAAGAAGTTAATGGCCTTTTGGTTTTTTTTTCTCTGTCTCCATCTTCAGCTGAAATTCATGTGGGGGAACTTAACTCTGGTGTCCTCGGACAGGAAGGATGTCCTTGTGCCCTCCCTGCTGCCTGGGCAAGAGGGGGTTGTCTCTGTGGAGTTTGTAGCTCCTCCAATGGAAGGAACCTACACGTCTCATTGGCGGTTATCGCACAGAGGGGAGCAGTTTGGGCCCCGGATCTGGTGCAGCATTGTGGTAGACCCCTCCTGCAACACAGACTGCCCAGAGAATAGCAAACTGGTGTCCAGTTTTTCCCAGAAGGGCAGTTCGCATTGTAAGAAAGAGGTGAGGCCCTTATTTTATATCCCTGAGCCTGTGTAAGTTGTTGTTGTCCCCCAGCTCTGCTTTCTGCTTACCACCTTACCTTAGATCTTTCACCTTCCCTTAGATCTTTCTCCTCAGGCCTCTGCTTCTCTGCTTTCTGCATATATATTTTCCCACTCCTTCCTTCAGCAACAAGGTGTATTCAAGTTCCTCGGCTAAATTAGCTCACTTTCCTCTTAAGACTTTTTGAATTATAGCCAACAAATCACTGCTGAAAGGGTCATTTGTATTTGCACTAATAATAGTATGTGGTGCACTATAATGTAGGTACCACTGTGTATATCATAAACTTTCATGTAACCACCTTCCTTCAGCCGCCATGCCTCCAGGCACCCCTATTCCTCTCTCTCTCTCATTTCAAATTAAACTTTTACAAACTTTAAAATATCCAATGACTTCCCTTCTTCTCCTTCCATGCTTCATATATTTAAAGAAGAGTGGAAAGTATTTATTGAATACAGTGGTACCTCGGGTTACAGACGCTTCAGGGTTACTGATGCTTCGGGTTACAAACTCTGCTAACCAGGAAGTGGTTGCTCCAAGTTAAGAACTTTGCCCCATGATAAGAACAGAAATCAGCAGGAGGCCACATTAGCAAAAGCACGCCTCAGGTTAAGAACCATTTCAGGTTAAGAACGGACCTCTGGAACGAATTAAGTTCTTAACCCAAGGTACCACTGTATATGGAAAATAAGGTTAGAAAGTCTGAGTCAAGTCAGTGATGTCATAGCGGTTTAGCCCAGTGGCAAGTTGGGCCTCCCAAGCAGCAGAGATAAGGCTTGTGACATCCATTTAGTAACTGTGTTCATACGTATACATGTCTGTGTTGCTTCTTTTTGGTCTCCCTTCTTCATCGAATTAAAAAACACTCTTTGAGCAAAGAGTAGATAACAGTGGTGTGCACTGGCCCCACAAGGTTTTGTTCCTGTTGCCTCCAGGTGGGGCTGGGAATGACTTCTATTGCAAACCCTGAAGCCTGCCTGTGTGGGCAGCACTGCGGTAGTTAGACAGCTTCCCGTGTTCCTAAGAGGAGCATGAATGTAATTGAAAAGATGTGAAAGATGCATCTCTTTCTGTGGGAAAAGAACAAACACTCTGTATCTTGCTTTCTATATGGTATTTATTCCACCAGCAGGATTTTACAAGATCCTGCAAACATTCTGTGCGGTCAGCTATAGAGAATTGAGAGGAAGGTCGTTAGTTCCTGTGATTCCTTTGGTCTCTTGGCACAGCCCATAATTAAGCATTTTGTATTTTTTTCACTGCACCCCTTTTGCCAGGAAGCTTAAGCAACAAAATGGAACTCTAGTGCCCAAGAAACTGTCCTGTATGTTGATGGCACAGTAAAAAGATGGAGTTTTTGTTTGCCCTAAGTTAGGATGAGGCTGCTCGCCTTAAGAGTCACCTCCGTGGTCCTTTCACTGTTTCTCTTTCTCCTTGTAGGAAAGACCCTCAAAGTTCAAGGGGCAAACTCTGCAAACTGCTGATGGTGCCACGACGGGAGGCGTGGCCGGCCGCGCTGCTCCACCAAAGCTGAAGAGCATCCTCAGCGCTAGAGAGTTCTACATCCCGTCAGTTGACCTGCTTACAGCTCAGGTAAAATGTCAGGTGCGAGCCAAGCTTGGAGGCGGGGCGAATTCACAGAAAATCTGTAATTCCGCATTTGTTCTGCCCTTCACCACCAAAGATTCTGCAGTGAGGCAAGGCTGTTTTCTCTTAAACTTAATAAAACTTGGTGTCTAGCTGACCAGGCGTGGCAGAGAGGGACGGAGATGGACTGTCGCTCTCTTTTTATCCCCTAACTTGAATGCTTTCGTTTCCTTCCTCCCTCCTAGGATCTGCTCTCCTTTGAACTGCTGGACATTAACATAGTGCAGGAACTGGAGCAGGTTCCACACAACACTCCTGGAGGTAAGCATCACCCCAACCCCAGGAGGCCTGTTGGTGGTAGTTGTGATGGGCATATCCTTGCCCCGTCTGCCCTAGAGATGCAGGTCTAGCACTCCATCCAGGGCCAGTAGGAGGAGCTGCCATCGCTGGGCACCTGTCGGGACCCGTGCTTCAGTAGGAACCCCTCTGTCAGTCCCCAGAGACTCCTGGTCCTGCTCCTTGCGGTTCTTGCTTGTTACCTGCCCCTTTCCGTGGTAGAGAAGAGACAAAGGAGACTTGTCTACTCAGAGCTTTTCACCAATAGGTCCCAAGCTTCCACCAACCTGGAACTGGCACTAGCTCCTCTGAAGACCAGGGCAGGTTCTTTTGGCAATTCCCTCTTGTATTGCCGCAGCTGCATCTTAGGTCGTCTGTGCCGCTTTGAAGCTGTGCTGAGGACTGTACCCCGATTTTGGCTTGCCTGTGGGCCATCATTTGCTTGCCTTGGATTCCCTGGTTGCTTTGCCTGAGCAGATACCATTTAGGATTTTTATAGTTCTGTCCGAGACTGCCTGCCAGTTGAATCATGGGCGCCCAAAGGCGATGAATTTGTAACCCCTTCTGGCTTAACTCTGAGCTGTGTTGCCATACTGAGCATGTGGGGTGCATTTCGTTTGCCACTAAGTAATTAAAGGAAATCCCTATCACTTTCTGCCTATTTGGAACAGTTCCAGGCAGGTTTGAGTTCCTGCACCTGCACAACACTTGAGGCAGTCCACAAAAATAGTTTTGGGAATCTCAGGAGCAGGTTCCTGTTCCTTCAGGTGGCATCTTGCTCTTCCAGACATGACTTGGTGCATGTCACCGCTGTCCCATGACAGTTCCTTGCTGGAGAAGGCTGGCTGGGACCAGATACAGGAGGAGAGCAGGGCGAGCACATGTAAATTTGAAGCCTGAAATGGTGTGTTACATTTATTCTAGTTACAGGAAGGGACAATAAGCTACAGTGGTGCCCCGCAAGACGAATGCCTCGCAAGACGAAAAACTCGCTAGACGAAAGGGTTTTCCGTTTTTTGAGTCATTCCGCAAGACGAATTTCCATATGGGCTTGCTTCGCAAGACGAAATGTCTTGCGAGTTCTTGCGAGTTTGTTTCCTTTTTCTTAAAGCCGCTAAGCCGTTAATAGCCGCTAAGCCGTTAATAGCCGCTAAGCCGCTAACAGCCGTGCTTCGCAAGACGAAAAAACCGCAAGACAAAGAGACTCGCGGAACGGATTAATTTCGTCTTGCGAGGCACCACTGTACGCTTCATCCACTGCCAGACTAGAAGGTCTTACTTAGCCTGTCTTGTGTCTCTGAGATTTCACCAGGCTCAAGCAATTTGAAGCCTATTTCAGCACTTCCTTAAGTCCTAAAAGCATATGTATTTTTCAAAAATGAAAGCTGAGATTCTTAGAATGCTGAAATCCGCACCCAGTAATAAATTGTGCCCTTGCTTAGTTGTGTTCATTTGTTATTTTGAAATAATGGACCTTCCCAATTATCTGGTGATCTGAACTGCATTGGGCTCCCATTGTTTCAAGTCTCTGTATAATAATTTGGGTTGGTTACTGAGGATGAAGATCAAGCCCCCAGCTTCTAGGGCTGCTTGAGTTCTAAAACTTGCGGCGAGTGCTGATGAGAACATTGTGTCCTACAGATGCCCAGGCAGGGAAAGGGAAGGCTGAGAATCCGGCTAACTCCGAGGAAGGAGAGGAAGACATGAGTGGGACCCAGTTTGTTTGTGAAACAGTAATTCGTTCTCTCACCTTGGATGCTGCGCCTGACCACAGGCCCCCACAGAGGAAGGAATCGTTGCAGAGTGAGTGTTTAATTTGTCATCCTGCTGAGCGCATTACATGTACAGAAAAAGCTTAAGCCCATCTCGCATTTTGATTGGCTCCTGTGCTTTTGTTGATTTAGGTTCTCTACAAGCACTACAGGACAATGCCCACTGCAGCCCAAACAAGGACCCTGTTAGGATAGAAAATGTTCTTTCTCCAACACTACAGGAACCAGAGTCCAAGAATCAAGGCATAGAGGTGGCCAAAGAACCTGAGTTTGGTAAGGAGAAGTGGCTAGAGTTTGCTTCTTGGAAAGAGAGACCAAGACTGACAGTATCAGTCTCTCTGCCCCATGGGTGGGAAAAGCTTATAATAGATCCCCATGCTCACGAAGGATAAATTCAAACTGAAATAAGTTCAAAGAAGAGCATGATAGTGGGGGTGGTGAAACCTTTCTTAGGAGCCAAGATTAAGAGCTCTTCCATTAAACCTGGATCAGGTTTAAGGTGCTGGTTTTAACCTTTAAAGCCCTATACGGCCTAGGACCCTCGTACCTATGGGACCGCCTCTCCTGGTATGTCCCACGGAGGACCATACGGTCTTCAAACAAAAACATCTTGGAGGTCCCGGGCTACAGGGAGGTTAGGCTGGCCTCAACCAGAGCCAGGGCTTTTTCGGCTGTGGCTCCGATCTGGTGGAGCGCTCTGCCACAAGAGACTAGGGCCCTGCGGGACTTGACATCTTTCCACAGGGCCTGCAAGACAGAGCTGTTCCACCAAGCCTTTGGCCAAGGCACAACCTGACCCCCTCCTTTGGTAATTCTTCACACAACTCTAGCCCAATGATTGCCATCAATTTGATTTGAACTGATTTTAGAATGAATTGATTTTAGAATGCTGTATTTATTTTACTGTTGTTAGCCGCTCTGAGCCCAGTTTCAGCTGGGGAGGGCGGGATATAAATAAAATTTTATTATTATTACTATTTTATGTCTCCCAGCTTCTGTTTGCAGCTCTGCATTGCTTAGGCTGATCTATGGAAGTGAGCTATAGGCGACAGGACTACTTTTTATTGTTTTTCAGCCGCACGAAAAGGCTTTTGTGGAGAATATCTTATTTTTATGGTGCCCAATAGGACAAAGCAAATTACGTTGAGGAAAAGATTCCTGCATTGCAGGGGGTTGGATCAATAGAAAGGGGCTGCAGTAGTCTTTGTAATCAAATTGTTCCACTGCTTCTCCTAGAGGAACTCCTGCTGCAAGACGGGGCGGAATCGAGTGATGGAGAGACCGAGGATGATGCCAAGGATGAAGTCTGCAGCCAAGCATCCTCTACCTCCTCTGAGGATTACATCATCATCCTCCCAGAGTGTTTTGACACCAGCCGCCCTCTAGGCGAGTCCATGTACAGTTCTGCACTCTCTCAGCCCAGCTTGGAAAAAGTGGCCGAGGCCTCGGCAAGCCCTGCGGGAGAGAACCAGCCCTCAGCTCACAGTATCAACGACATGCTAACCACCTCACAGACACTGGACGAGGTGCCTCTGACCCCTCAGATCCTGGAACCACATCCTGCAAGGTACCAAGTGGACCCGGAGCCAAAGTATGACTTCTTTGTCTCTGTAGTCATAAGCAACCTTCAGAAGGAGATAAAAAAGGGGGTCGGCTGCTGAGTTTGGGCCTAGTGTTCCAGCCAAGCAAAGCACAAAAATCCAAATTCAGGCGGAACTAAGTAGGGTGTGTTACTAGGGAAATGGCTTGAATGTGTAGCGTAGCTCAGGCTTGGTGGGTGTGCTTTTTCTACAGTTTCTGGCTACTACACCTTCCCACATGCCTGCTTTTCTTCCATTTTTTAACAATAGATCTCTGGCCCCTCCCCAAAACAACAGCTCCCAAGAAACAAGTGTTCCCAGTGGAGAGGACGCCTCTTGGTGGGTTCCAGACCAAACCAGAGAAGGTACTGTGCTATGATTTACAGGCTGGTAATCGGTTAGCAACTGCTCCTGACTCAAATCATTAGTTTTACAGCCCACCCTCTTCCAGAGCCTCAAGGTGGGTGGTGGCAAATCAATGAAAGGTGCTGCTTTCAGTAAATAGATTCAATGAAGGGTAATGCTGTTCCCCATTAAATTTCTCTGATAGTCGTAATTTGGTTCTTTCCTGCCAGTTCCTGCTCTCAAGCTCCCAAATATCTCTCTTGTAGTGGTCCAAGGAGCAGATGTTCCTGAACCTCCGCCTGCAGGGAATGTACATAGCACACCAACATGTCCAGAGTTCTCCAGGTAACAAAAGCTGGGCCAGGCTGGGATTTTGTTGTGATCCGGTTGGCAAGTGGTATCTGTCCTATTTTTCGTTGAAAAATAAGTGTCTGTTTGTGTATGCTTTGAGATCCCTTCCCACTCCTACCCAAAATGCCCACTGACAGCTGTGTAAACTTAATTTATGCTAGGCAAGATGTGCTCATTGAGTTGCAAACTGCACTGTGCAAGTACGTTGGCTGGCAGTGACATTTTTATGAGAGATGTCTGTTGTTCATAAGTGGACTTGTACCAGTAGCAAATAGATTGGTATTATCTGACTATCTTTTTTGGTTTTACCTGCCTTGTTTCTTTCCTTGCATCTTATTGCTGTTTTGTTGTATTTGTATTATTGTTAGTCTCCCCTGAGCACCATTTTGGTAGAAAGGCAGGATTGAAATTTAACAAATAAAAATTTGGCCCATAGTGGGAATTCAGCAACACAATATTTTTGTTTTTTAATAAGGGGCAAGTTTCTAGCTAATATGGCTGCTAGGATGGGCATGAAAATGAATGGGAAATGCCTTGTGACATCTCAGAGAGGACGATTACTTCTTTTCATTTAATACCCAACCCCTTTTCTCTAGAACTTTTAATCTGGCATACAAAGGGTTCCTGGGCACTTGTTCCATCCAGACATAAAACCTTTAGCAAGGTTTCTGTATTGTATTCATTCTGTGGAATCTCCATGTAAAAGAGGCACGAGTATCAGGGTTGGAGATCTGCTGCCATTCTAAGTACAGAGGAACCTCGTGTTATGGACAGGATCCGTTCTGGAGGCCCGTCCGTAACATGGAACTGACGCGAGCCGAAGCGCCGTGTCTGCGCATGTGCGCAGCGCGATTTAGCGCTTCTGCGTGAGCGGCAAAACCCAGAAGTAACTCTTTCCAGTACTTCCGGGTTGCCGCAGTACGCAAGACAAAAACACGTAACCTGAAGTGGACGCAACATGAGGTATGACTGTAGATTATATCGATCTAGATGGACCACCTGCCAACCTAAGCAGTTCGAAAGCATGTCAAAGTGCAAGTAGATAAATAGGTACCACTCCGGTGGGAAGGTAAACTGTGTTTCCGTGTGCTGCTTTGGTTCACCAGAAGCGGCTTAGTCATGCTTGCCACATGACCCGGAAGCTGTCTGTGGACAAACGCTGGCTCCCTCGGCCTATAGAGCGAGATGAGCGCCGCAACCCCAGAGTCGTCTGCATCTGGACCTAATGGTCAGGGGTACCTTTACCTTTAGATGAACCACTAGGCTTATTTGGTATAACACACTGTCAAATGCTGGTAAAGTCACAGGATCATGGTTTTCTTAGTACAGAATATTTATTTATTTAGGCTCAGGCACAGAAGACAGAAATCCTCCCTTTTAGCATTCTCTTTTCCTGAAAGGTTTGGCCCAAGCAGTGCATCCCATTTTCCTTACCGTTAAGCCAAACCCTAGCATGTGCCCCGTTAAGACACCCCGCTCGGTTCTTTTACTTTTGTTATTTATGTCCTTTAATTGCAACTTAACTCTGCAGGCACACCCATGGGAACAGCCTCGCTGGTGACCTCGTGAAAGGGGCCTTGTCAGTGGCTGCCTCTGCTTACAAGGCGCTGTTTGCTGGACCGCCCACCGTGGAGCAGGTAGGCAGCTCCTTGGGATGATATTGCTCCCCCTGGAATGGGCAAGAAAGGGATTGGAGCAGAGTTTGCATATTTTGTCTCTCCACAGCCACGCTGCAAGTACAAATTTGGTGTTATGTTCACGTGAAAACAGGCTTCTAGCTTTTGTGGCTGCAAAATGAACTTGAGAACATGTGGCACCAGGGATTGTTATGTCCAGGAGCTGGCCACCAGATAAATATTTCACGTTTAAATGTTGCTTGGGATGACAAGAAGGCGTACGTCCCCGTAGTCGGATTAGACTTCCTCTGATGGAAACCTGGACAGAAAATAGGGAAGTTTGTTGTTGGGCAGGTAGGTGAAGAGGTCAATTGCTGGTGTCTCAAATCAGCACTGGATGGCTCAAAAGACTCTGGGTTTGATGCTCTGATCTCCAGAAAGTTGAAAGCTCAACCTTGTAGTTGTGGATTCCTTGGAAGCCGTGGGCTATCAGGAAAAGCAAGGAGGAGGGTAGCTTCCTAAAACAAGGATTGGGATCACAAATGCTCACATGGGCCTTGCCCATCTGGAGAAGCCATTTTGAAATGGCTTCAGAAGACGTGCAGCATCACACAGATGGCCCTTGGCTCCAGCAAGTTGGTGCTGTGTATCATTTCATTGGGACAGTCACCTGCCTTGTTCTGTCAGACTGCAGCCATGAGCTGCTTTGTTCTTTGGACTAGTTGCCACTAGCCTCCTGTGTCTCACCATTCTCCAGAACCAGAGCGGAAAACCTTACTTGCTCCCATTGCATTCTGGTTGACTGGTGCTCTCTCTTCACTTTGACGACAGCTGGGCAGTGGGAGAAGCAAGCACACGCAGTCCTCCGTCCTGTTAAAAATTAATAGATAGCGATTGGGAAAGGAACTTGGCTGTGTGAGCAAAGGTGGAGCTACCTTCCCACCCGCTCTATGCAGTCAGAAAGGAGAGGAGATGGGGAGGGTAGAAAATGTCCTGTCATACCTGTAGTTGGCAGCAAGAATTCCAGAAATCCCTTAAATCGCAAAGGTAAAGGACCCCTGACAGTTAAGTCCAGTCACAGACGTCTCTGGGGTTGCGGCACTTGTCTCGCATGACAGGCCGAGGCAGCCGGCATTTGTCCGCAGACAGTTTTTCTGGGTCAAGCGGCCAGCATGATTAAGCCGCTTCTGGCACAATGGAACACCGAAACCAGAGCAGCGCGCAGAAACGCCGTTTACCTTCCCGCCAGAGCGGTACCTATTTATCTACTTGCACTTTTTGACGTGCTTTTGAACTGCTAGGTTGGCAGGAGCTGGGACCAAGTAACAGAAACTCACCCCGTCACAGGGATTCCAAGTCCCAACCTTCTGATCGGCAAGCCCAGGAGGCTCAGTGGTATAGACTACAGCGCCACCCGCGTCCCTCCTAGTGCTGCAGAAATAGGCAGGATCAAAATGGAGGTGGTAGCTTCACCCACCAGAGTGATGTGAAAGCCTTCTGTTATTGAAATGCTGCCGACTGTGGAGTGAGTGGGAAAGAGTAACCCATATATTTTGTCCGTTGTGAAGATAAAATAATGGGGGGAAATGGGTTTCCTGAAGGAAAGGTGGGATATGAATTTAATATTGGTGCCTCGCAAGACAAAATTAATTCATTCCGCGAGTTTTGTCGTCTTGCGATTTTTTTCGTCTTGCGAAGCACGGTATCGGGAAAGTTTTGGAAAAGCTTCAAAAATCACCAAAGTCTTTAAAAACCTCAAAAAAGGCTACCACACCGCGTTCTATGAGTTGCTCCTCGAAGTCAAGTCGCAACTGTATTAACGGTGTTAAGAAAAAGGAAACAAACTTGCAAGACGTTTCAGTCTTGCAAAGCAAGCCCATAGGGAAAATCGTCTTGCGAAGCAGCTCAAAAAAACCCTTTCGTCTAGCGAGTTTTTTGTCTTGCGAGGCATTCGTCTTGCGAGGTACCACTGTACCATCCTCTCCTGTGGGAGGTGGGGATTTATTTCATGGGTACAGATTGGGGAAAGCATTGGCAGAAAACCCTAGATGTAAGCATGCACGTTTCCTTGTTTTGATCGTTCTCCTCCTTCCATCCTTCAAGGCTCTTCCTGTGGCCACCGAGGAGCAAATGAACCCCTTCCTAGCCAACCTGAGCGAGATGGGCTTCTGCGACAGGCACCTTAACCTCAGGCTGCTACGGAAACACAACTGTGATATTTCCCAAGTTGTCACTGAGTTGCTGCAGCTGAGTCACAGCGATTGGTACGAAAACCAGTATTGAACCTTTCTCCTCACCGTGCTCATTAAAACCTGAGCAGTAAATGGCACCAGCAGCTTCCAGCTCCCTTCTGTTCCAGCACAGCAGAGATGGCTTGGCTTCTGTTTCCCATTGCATCATGGTTCGTCACCACCACGACCACCAGTATCCAATGACTCGGGCACTAGGATTTCTTTAAAACACTAAGGTTCCTTCCCCCAACTGGTATAATTCCAGATTTTGTTGTAGTAAAAAGAGGTGAATGTACACACGAAATACAAGTGAGCTGTGTTCCTAAGAATTTTAGGGCTTTCGTTCATGAGCGGCAAGCAAGTAAGAACCAGAGACTTGAGGGGCCTTCCTGTATTGTTCCTGCCTATCTGCCCATCTCCATCCAGCGGTGGAGCTAAACTAAAGACCAGCTTTTCCACATTCTGTCCTCTCATGAAGGCGGTGGGTGGAGCCCTTTGTCCTCTAGTTTTGGAATCATCCTGCATTTTGTTGGAGCAATAATTCCACCAGCATTTTCATGTTGTGTTTTGCAGACGCTACCTTAAAATGCATTCGTCATAGTCTAGCTGTTGGCGTTCTTGGCCAGTCCCGTCAAAACCTAAATGCTGCTGTTTGCTGTTAGTTACTGGGAGTGAAATAGACTATGAAAGGAGCAAAGTCGGTAGCAAGACTGGGTGGGTGGTTCGCCATAAAAATACCAAAACAAAGAGCAGTTGCTCCTCCTGTGTAAATCTTTAGAGGTATTATTAATAGCTATTATAACTTAAGTATTTGATTGACACATGGTCAAGACATGCTTGGTGGGGGAAACGACACAAAACTATTTTTGTAGACCCATTCCTCCTGTTTAGATGAATAGACTCTCACATACAAGATTTCTGTCCCACCCTGCCCAGCCAATGGACCAATTTTTTTGGGGGGGGGGAATGCACAGTTTTTAACAAACGTTGATTCAATTTAAACATGCTAATAAAGCCCTTAAATATGCATTTGCATAATATTGAGCATAAAAGAACATGAGGAAATGCTGAATCAGAGATGGCATTATGGGAGGAAGTTTCCTCCATCCCATCAGGAAAAAGAGACTGAAGAAAGTTCTGCCCAAAGCCCATTGAATAAACAGGATGTGTACCCATTCCAACTGGATTATTTAGCTCTCAGGTGCTCCTTTTTCAAACAATATAAAAAGAATGGCTGCTATCATTTAAAAAAGACACAGCTACCCTCGGAGATGTGGCTGAACCCATACCTGTTTTTTTGTGCGGTGGGGTAAACACAGGTTGGTTTTTTCCTGTGACTTTGGGCTAATATGATTGGGAGGGAAAATTCAGAAATGATGGAAGCGATTAAGACCCCTTTTTGCTTTAGAAGAGGGAAAATGAAACGAAACACCTACTTCTGCAGTGCACTGCCTTTCCCCACCCTCATTTAACTTGTGCATGGAAAGCTACATATCTCTGATCAGAGATCTCCAGATTAGGACTTACTTTGCTTTGGGTTGATGGGTGAGAATCTTGGTATTCCTAGGTAGATCATATTGTTTGACTTGAATTAGTTCTCTTGCTACCAATCCTATTGGCAAACCTCTTGTTAACCCTGGTAGAAATATCTTTCTTTTTAGGTTTCATAAAAGCTGAACTTTTCTTTCATTGGCTTCATAATATTTTATGAGAGGGGTGCATGGATGATAATTTTAAAAAGTGCAAATATTATGATCTTTGTATATTGCTTAGAATAAACACTTTGAACAGTCTTTGGGGTGTGACAAATGTTAAAATAAAGTATACATTAAATAAGCAGCCTTGCGTTTATGAAAATAAAACCAGCTCACCAAACGTTCCTTGCTGGGTGGGGTTCATGAGGGAAACCATTCTTAACCTTATTTCGAGAAAAGGAACTTCCACTGAAATGAAACATTTCAAGTAAAATTGGGGTGGCAGGGCTTCTTGAGTGAGGCACACTTGATTATATTCAGTGGCAGTAGGTCTAGTGCTTTTTTTCAGCTGGGGCGCATTTCTGGCACTTCTCAGGTGGGTGCCATTGAGGCCTGGCACCCCCCACCCCCACCCGATTCTCCTTCTAAGAAGTCCAAAAAACAAACATTTCAAATCAAAATGGAAGCTGGCCAGCATGGGCGAGTCTACAATTTTTTTATCTACGACTTCACCTAGCTCCTAGCTGCAGTTGGTCAAGCTGCATGGCGGGCCAATTCGTATTTCCTTTTCTTCAGCCCGTCTCCATGTAGCAGCGATGGGCTTTAAAGTTTTCCACCCAGGCCTCTGTCATTGCGCAAGCATGCATTTGCGCAAGGCTCCTTCCAAGCTGCCCTAGCTATCCGTCTGAACCTAAGAGGAGAGAGGCGGGGGAACATTTGACCTGCACCAGAACCAGAGGCTACCCGTAAACCAGTTAAAGGGACAGCTTGCCTTGGTTTTTAACACCTCCCCGGGCACTGAATACAGCTGTTCTCAAACTGGCATTTGTTCAGGGCTGTCCCAAGTCACCCGGCAACTTACTGTAGTGGTAGTAGTAATAGGAATAATAATAAAAAAATTAATTTTATTATTTATACCCCGCCCATCTGGCTGGCTTTCCCATAACAACTTCATAGTGAGTTCTGGCACCTATTTTTCGGGGGGGGGGACATGGAGTAGGTATGAGGATTTGCTTACAAGAAAACAACATTACACTGAACAAGCGTCGTATAAAAGGTTGCCTCTCCCCTTGCCACCAGAGGTGCTAAGATAATTTAAGTGCTGCCTAAATGCATGGCACTCTGTTGTTTTGCTCAAGCCCAGCACCCCTGAACCCAGAGCCAGAGGTCTGTGGGAGCTCTGTACATGAACATGTGTCTCGGGAAACAGCAGTGGGAATACTTTTCAAGTGATGTATCCCTGGGTTTTTTAAGAGAGCTTCTGAAACTTCTCTCTTTAAAAAAAAAACAACACAAAAAAACTCAGCAGATTGTTTGCTAGATGCACAATCCACTGTTGAAAAGAAGTGGGGAAAGCACAACAGTCAACAAACTAAGCAAACTGCTTCAAATATCTTCAAGGGTTAAGGCATGGCCAAACCTGGCCCTCCAGATGTTTTGGGACTACAATTATCCCTGGCCACTGGCCCTGTTAGCTAGGTATGGTGGGAGTTGTAGTCCCAAAACATCTGGATGGCCAAGTTTGGCCATGCCTGACTGTCTTAAGCAAACCAAGGAACAGTTTTTATAGCACAAGTGTTTAATAATTAGCTGGCTCTTTGATGGGGAGAACAGAGACTTAACCACATAAAGAGCTTCTTATATTTCTGTCGGTGGCAGCGAGGTAACCAGATGCACACAACTGGAAGAGTTTGGGCAGTTTACCAAGAGCAACGATAAATTTGGTCCATTGCTCCGATGGAGAAACTTGCCAAATGAACGCAGGCTTCAAAGGGACAACAAAAACAATTATTTTATTGAGATTTGGTACACGTTTATTGGTAAGCCTAGTTTACAACTGCCAGGCACACGTAGTAATCTTTGGCAAAATGTTATTAACTCTTGCATTATTATTATTTTCAGGAGCAGGGTGGGGTGGGGGAGACCTTACCTTTGTTTTTGTCATTATTATTTACTTGCAATGAAATTACAAAACATAATTGGGTGCTGTTTTGACCTTTGAAAGCCCCCAATAGCCTGGACTTGGGCAAGCAGCTCCTCTCATAAGCATTCATGTCAGGTGAGATGAATTTGCTTCCCAAAATCAGGAGCGGACAGGTTTGGGGACTTCTCTGCCATAGCATGCCTTGCAATTTCTCCCACCTAACTTGTGTCTGAATGAATGTTGTTTATAGTGGTTTTAGAACTATTGGCAGAAAGAACAAGATGTAGTCAAGATATTAAAGGTAGAAGAGTGGGACAGAGACAATATAAATTAAAAGCATTTGCAGATGATGTGGTGATTATCGGTAGAAGAACCAACAGAGTCAATCACGAAAGTATTACAAGGGATAAAAATTTTGGTGAGGCAACAGGTCTTAAGATTAATAAAGATAAAACCAAACTCTTGGTTAAGAATATGAATGATGAGAGTAAAAATAAATCCAGATGCATCTGGATTAAAGATTGGAAGGAAGGCTAAGTATTTAGGCGTATGGGTAACAGCAAATAATATAAATCTGTATAAAGATAAGTATTTAAAAAGCTGGGAAGTTATTAAAAGAAATTTGCAACAGAATGAATCTTTCACTATTAGGCAGTGTCGAGTCTTGTCGACCATAAAAATGAATGTATTATCTAGAATGTTATTTTTCTTTCAAACAATTCCAGTGATTGGCAAGGTGTTTCAACGCATGGCAAAAAGATATTTCTAATATTTGGCAAGGGGGGGAAACCGAGAATAAAATATAAAACACTGATAGATGCAAAAGAGAGAGGTTTCTCCCTGCCAGATATGAGGTTATATTATGAAGCATCTTGTCTTTGTTGTCTGAAAGAATGGAGGATATTGGAGAATTCACATATTCTAGACTTAGGTCATGATAATATTTTTGGTTGGCACACTTATTTATGGTATGAAAAGGTAAAAGTACCGCATGAATGTTATGGATGTGGTGAAGGAAACCACGTCCTTCTTGGCAAACCTTTCCAATTTTTGGACTCCTTGATTGCATTTCTATAAATTTTTTTAGCTCTTTTTGCAAGGTATGCATAGAATAATAATAAACACAAATAGAGCTACTGTCCTTGGCACACTTTCCTGGGCGTAACCCCAATTCAACAAAGTAGGATTTCTTAATAAACTGGTGACCAATTTCACTATGTTCTATGGCGGAAGGGATCTTTGGTGGAAAGTTGGGCTGCTGGTGTTTCATCACCTTAAATCTGGATATTGTAAAACTATGCTTCAGTGGGATGGTCACGGGAAACAGGTTGTGCTTTTTTCACTATAGGGAGAACAATGGGGATCTTGGTTTGTGGCTGAGGAGGCGCAGACATAATGAGGAAATTCCATGGAAAAGTCTGGGTTGCTCAATTTCCTCTCAGAGCAGTGAGAGCAACTGGAAGGACGGCTTTGCCCAGTTGCCATGGCTGCCCTCCAGGTGAAAAAGAGGACTTTGGAAGGAGCATAAATGGAGTGAGGAAAGGGGTTTATGTTCTGAATTCAGCGCAAAAAAGAAAAGAAAAATAGCAAAGGGGGTGGGGGAGAAAGCGAGTGAAAAACTAAACCTGGAACACTTCAGGCCGTTACCTCAGCTACAAGTTGAGAAGCGAATCTCAAATGCCTTAAAAGACGGTTTAAAAACCGAGTATAGGCATTTTCGAAACGCGCCAACCTTCACGCAGCCTAGGGCCGCAAGTAGATGCTGGCCAACCATGACGTGGGAAAGGGCAACGACACGCATCTTCGAACCCCGAAGGCGAATTATTCGAAGCCGTGGGGCGATTCGCCCACGAAGCTGCGGCCGTCGCCATTTATGGACCAGGGGAGAATATAACGCTACGACGCCTTTTGCGGGACCTTTTGAGGGAGGCTTTACTTTCGAGTAAAGGGCGCCGAAGTCCCCCACCACCACCACGCTTACTCGCGAGTAAATGCCAGCGGCGTGGCCGGACTAGCCGTGCTTTTTTCGGGGCGAAAGCCTGGCAGGGTCCGAGCTCGGCTCCCCCCCCCCCACAATCTATTTGAAATTAAGCACCGGCTAAAATCAGTCGCTGAGGGGAAAGCCGAGAGCGGGCCGCCGCCATCGCCCCCTTCTCGGGCGGGAAATGCCCGCCGGGGGTGGAGCCGCTCTTGGTGGCCGGAGGAGGGCGAGGCGCCGCCGGTTTTCGCTTTCGTTTCGCTCCGGAGTCCGTCCGCCGGACGCTGCAGCAGCCTGGCCGCTCTCCTCAGGCGGGGCGCGGTGAGCAGGTGTCCCCCTTGGGTCTCCTCTGAGGGGCCGCGTGCGACCCCTCGCCCCCTCGCTTCCTTCCCCTGCTGCCACTTTCTCCTCTTCTTCTTTGCTGCGACCGCCCTGCCATTTCCTCTTTCTGGCTCTCGTTTTCTCTGCGCCCCGACAACCGGATCGTCCAATTTAAGCCCTTGAAACCGGGTCTGGGGAAAGGATCCCGATCCCTCCCCAAACAGGCACCCAAGAGCCCCCTTCCCTGCAGCACAGTCGGGCTCGCCGGGGAAGCGCATGTCGGCCTCGCCTTCCTTGGCCCGAAGGTGGCATTTTGCGAGGAGGAGGAACAATGGCCATTTTGCAAAGTTATTAACTGGCGACAACATGGCCTGGTTGAGCAAACTGGGGAACCAAACAGGGAGTAGTTAAGGTGCTTGTCTGGATGCGGCTGGAGGATGGATGGCGGGTCACAGATTGAGGTTGAATCCTGACAAGACAGAAGGATTGTTTCTGGGGTCAGGGGACTCCCTGGTCGTGAATGGGGCAACTGTGCCCCTGAAGGACCAGCTGCGCAGCCTGGGCATAGCTGTCAACTTTCAGATTTGAAAATATGGGATCGGCAGACTCACCTGTCCTGGGGACAGTCTACAGCAGGGGTCTGCAACCTTTAAGACAAAAAGAGCCACTTGGACCCGTTTCCGAAGGGGGGGAAAACTGGGAGCCGCAAAACCATTGCGACATTTAAAGCATGCGCGCCGCTGCCCTCCGATCTGACAGCGGGTGGGAAGGTGACGTCGGGACGGTGCGTGTCTAACGCACGCACCGCCCCCATGCGACGTCACAGCCAGTACAGCGCCCGCTACAGTGGGGAGTGTCGGGGCGCACAATGTGCCTCCTCCCCTCGCTAGTATCCGCCCCGGAGCCGCGGCAAAGGTGTAAAAGAGCCACATGCGGCTCCAGAGCCGCGGGTTGCAGACCCCTGGTCTACAGGATATCTAACAAACCGGGATAGCAGTGGGAAGCAGCAGGAAACGGCGCTGGAATAAGGGAATTTCCCGCCAAAAAAGGGAAGGTTGACAGCTATGTGCCTGGGAGTCATTTTGGACTCATAGCTGTCTGTGAAGGCGCAGGTCAATTCTGTGTCCAGGGCAGCTGTCAACCGGCTCCATCTGGTATGCAGGCTGAGACCCTGTCTGCCCGCTGACTGTCTCGCCAGAGTGGTGCATGCTCTAGTTATCTCTCGTTTGGACTACTGCAATGCGCTCTATGTGGGGCTACCTTTGAAGGTAACCCAGAAACTACAACTAATCCAGAATGTTGCAGCTAGACTGGTGACTAGGAGCGGCCACCAAGACCACATAACACCAGTCTTGAAAGAAGTTTCCGAGAGAGACGCGGGTGGCGCTGTGGTCTAAACCACTGAGCCTCTTCGGCTTGCCAATCAGGAGGTTGGCGGTTCGAATCCCCGCGACGGGGTGAGCTCCGATTGCTCGGTCCCAGCTCCTGCCAACCTAGCAGTTCAAAAGCACATCAAAGTGCAAGTAGATAAATAGGTACTGCTCCGTAAACGGCGTTTCTGTGCGCTGCTCTGGTTTTGGTGTTCCATTGTGCCAGAAGCGGCTTAGTCATGCTGGCCACATAACCCAGAAAAACTGTCTGCAGACAAATGCCAGCTACTCTTGGCCTGTAAAGCGAGATGAGCACCGCAACCCCAGAGTCGTTCTGACTGGACTTAACTGTCAGGGGTCCTTTACCTTTACCTTTTTACATTTCCGAGCACAATTCAGAGTGTTGGCACTGACCTTTAAAGCCCTAAACGACCTTGGCCCAGTATACCCGAAGGAGCGTCTCCACCCCCATTGTTCAGCACTTGAGGTCCAGCTCTGAGGGCCTTCTGGCAGTTCCCTCATTGCAAGAAGTGAGGTTACAGGGAACCAGGCAGAGGGCCTTCTTGGTAGTGGTGCCCGCCCTGTGGAATGCCCACCCATCAGGTGTCAAGGAGATGAGTAACTAACTTTAAGAAGACATCTGAAGGCAGCCTTGTATATGGAAGCCTTTTAATGTGTTATTTTTTTAAAAAAATAAATTATATGTTGGAAGACCCACAGAGTGGCTGGGGCAACTCAGTCAGATGGGTGGGATATTATTATTATTATTATTATTATTATTATTATTATTATTATTAATTGGTGTTATGGAGCCCTAGGCCTTCTCTTTTACAGGGTACTGTGCATTACTTCAAAATGTAGTAAGCCAGCCTCCTTTATTTGGGTTTTGGTCTCCTGAACGGGGCTTCAGCCAGTTGAGATTCCTGCATTGCAGGGGGTTGGACTAGATGACCCTTAAGAGTCCCTTCCAACTACGGTGGTACTTCGGGTTACAGACGCTTCAGGTTACAGACTCCGCTAACCCAGAAATAGTACCTCGGGTTAAGAATTTTGCTTCAGGATGAGAACAGAAATCTTGTGCAGCAGCAGCGGGAGGCCCCATTAGCTAAAGTATCTCAGGTTAAGAACAGTTTCAGGTTAAGAACGGACCTCCAGAACGAATTACCGTATTTTTCGCTCTATAACACGCACCAGATCATAACACGCACATAGCTCTTAGAGGAGGAAAACAAGAAAAAAAAATTCTAAACGAAATAGTGGATATATGATTTTTGTGGTTCATGCTGTGGCCACAGACATGTGATCTGACAGTGAGTTTGGAGTAGCCCAATCCAGAAATCCTGAGGATCCATGTGGATCCATGCTTTGTAACCACGGAGGAGGGAAGGAAGGGGAACCATGGATCCTCTGCTCACGACTGCAGCAGATCCCCCCCGCCACCCACAGGCATTCGCTCCATAACACGCACAGACATTTCCCCTTACTTTCTAGGAGGAAAAAAGTGAGTGTTATGGTGCAAAAAATACGGTAAGTTCTTAACCTGAGGTACCACTGTACATTTCTATGCTTTTATACTACTACAGGCAGGAAGATAATCTCAGCCCCATCTAAAGCTACTTTTGCCAGCCGAAACCCCTTAATCTTTCCAAACAAGCTTCAAACTTGGTCACTCTTTGGCTTTTCTCTCCACGTTTAGCTCCCCGCCCCCCCTTTTGGTCTATATCAGGCACGTCCAACTCCCAAGATACTGCCATCTACTCCCAGTATATAGAAAAGGCAGTGATCTACCCATTGGCATTTTGGGGGGAGGGTTGACCAGAGTTGTCCACCGCTGACAATAGCACACAGCGCTACAGCAGCCAGAAGACAAATGAAGCCCATCTCTTTGCCCTCCTTGCCGGGGAGGAAATAAACGTCAACGTGCCACACCTCCTATTATGGGTCCCGCAATCAACCTGTTGGACATGCCTGGTATCTTTCCAAGTAGGGTTGCCTTTTCATCAGCCTGGGATGTTCCTGGGCTTTATTTACAGCAGCTAATCTAAATTGTAGTGAAATCAGTAGTTAAAACTCTTCACAGTTTGAGGATGAAGTGTTACCACCTGCTAATGTTTTGTTAATCTGCTTGTTAAAGGCACAGTGACAGAGGTTGACTGAAGAGTTGGCAGCCCTACTCCCAAGCCTTCATGCTGCTTTCAGTGCTCATCCTGTGAGGTATGTGTAACCTGTATTTCTGGGTTACCTTTCTAGGTGATCTTGAGTTTTGAATAGAAGGAACAGCTCAGCCCATTAAAACACAAAGAAGGGGGTAAGTCTCCTTTTGTGTGAAGGAAGCCTGCCCCTTTTAAAAGAGCTGAATCTCTCCTGTAGTCAGTTTATAAAAAGAGTGTGTTTATCTAGAACTGCTCCTTTTCTAATCCCAGATATGCAGTACTTGTTCTGGCTGCTAAACCCTGCTCTCGGCTAGGCAGAGGTATTGAGAATCCACACTGTTTTAAAATAGAATAGATCAGCACAAGTTTTGGAACTGGGGGAAAGCTTTGCATAGGTTGAGAGATACTTTTCTGAATTGTGACGTTTTGTGAGCCGTGGCTCATATTGAGTCTGCAGTTTTTCCTTTTCGTTCTTTATAGAAGGCTGAGGAAACCGCAGGTTGGCTAGGTTCTTGAGCAGGACTCTTATCTTGTCTAAGCCTTGTTATCACTGCTTTTGTTGTTTAGTCGTTTAGTCGTGTCCGACTCTTCGTGACCCCATGGACCAGAGCACGCCAGGCACTCCTGTCTTCCACTGCCTCCCGCAGTTTGGTCAGGCTCATGTTTGTAGCTTCGAGAACACTATCCAACCATCTCATCCTCTGTCGTCCCATTCTCCTTGTGCCCTCCATCTTTCCCAACATCAGGGTCTTTTCCAGGGAGTCTTATCTTCTCATGAGGTGGCCAAAGCATTGGAGCCTCAACTTCACGATCTGTCCTTCCAGTGAGCACTCAGGGTCTGATTTCCTTAAGAATGGAAATCACTGAACCTGATTCAAAGCAAATGCCTCAATCAGCCCAGGTCAAAATCAGATTAACAGTTTAATATCTGAAGTTGTATCAGCTATGAAAGATAAACACTGCTAATTAATGTTAAAGTCAAAAGTTATAGTTCACTAAGTCAAAAGTCAACACTTTGTAGTTTCTAACACTGTGTATCTAGTAGCCTCCACAATTGGGAATGTTTGTAAAATATTTGAATCGGTAGAATATACATTTATTTTGTTGGTAAATTTGAGTTAGCAGGAGGACTTGCTGGAAAATGTTCTCTCTCCATTTCTACCCTGTTGAACTCATCTCTGTTTTTTTAAATACACATGTGACCCTACCCAGCAGAAATCCACAATTCCTCTTCTTCTTTTTCTTCTTTTTAATTTTCTTCTTCTTTTTTTATTAAAGATTTTCTTGATTTACAAAAGTGTGTGCAATGTCTCTCTCTTGTATTTTCGCCCCCATGTAACATTTTTACAAATCAGTTTCATTTGTTGAGACATTAGGAAGAAAAGGGGGAAAGAGATGGAGGGGGGGGGAGAGATGGGGAGGAGTGGGGTCGGGTGGCAATGTTTCTATTTTACTTACTAAATGTAGGGTTTGGTGTCAGCATTCCTTGTGCAGTTCTTTGCTGTTCACTTGTGTTCCTTTGGTGGTGAGGAAGGTTGGGGTTGGCCTAGGGTGTGGTTTCATTTGTGGTTGGCTGTGGTGGTCTTTGTTTTCATGTGTGAGTGGGGTGGGTGGGTGTTTTGGATCAGGTTAGCCATACTGATTTGTATGCTGTTGGTGGATTTTTGTCCTTGTCTTGTTGGGCTGTGTATGTGATAAAGGGGAGCCATACCGGGGTGAAGGCATCTTCTTCTGTTTGTCCCCGTGTCAGTTTCAGTTTATTGGTTAATTCTTCTAGTAGGGCTGTTTCCCATACTATTTGCTACCACGATTGCTCTTCTGAGGGTAGGTGGGAATTCAACAGCAATGTTTGAAACCTGGTGATAAATGATTTCTCAAATTTGTATCTCCCCTTTCTCTCTTCCCTGCAACCCAGTTTTCTTTTCTCCTCCTCCCCCAGTCATTCCTACTTTGCCTCCCCTAGATATGATTCGTGGCATTGAAAGGACTTCTTTAGAGGAAATGTTAAACATCTGACACTGGTTGGGGCCTGTTCTGGGAGTCCGCTAGTGTTTACCTCTGATACTTGGCCTAAGTAGGAACTTCGGGAGTTTGTTTTTCCCCTGGCTCCCCATCTCCCAGGTAAGAACTGTGCCCGCCTCAAGCTCCTTCCAATAAGTTAGGTTGATTATCCCTTCACACAGTTGCTGAAAGAAACTAGCCATGGGTTTAGCCAAGGGGGCAGCGGGGAGGGGGCAGCTGCCCCTCCATATCAAGTAAAACAATACAAATACCAATCACATCAGTTCTGCCCCCCCCTAAAAATCCTGGCTATGCCCACAAAGCCAGATGTTTTTAAGCCATATCTCCAGAATTTGCTGCTGAAAACAACTATTGGTCATTGGCTTGTTTTGTTATTGCTTTTATTACATATGTTGTGTTTAAATCTTGTGTTTTTTATTCTCTGAGATCTATGGATGAAGGGCGGTATACAAACTTCATAAATAACAATAGCAATAAATAATAAGTGCCTCTCACTGCAAACTCAGGTGGCAAGCATTGACAGAAATTGAGAAACAAGAGGGATGAATTAACATGTTTTAGGGGGAACCTCAGTGTTTGCAGAACTACAAAAAGAAAAAGTTTTTTAAAAGCCTAACGTGAAGACTGAGCATACTCAGTCGCAACGAAACGTTAAATGTCAGTTGAAGAAGAAAAGCAGAAGACTGGGGAAGCCCTGCTTGAACTTCTTACAGTTTATGGTTTCCTGAAGGAAGGGTTGGTTACCTGGCTGGCTGGCTAGCACCCCGAAACAGGAACGCTCCACGTTGGGCAAAAGATTCCTGCATTGCAGGGGTTTGGACTAATGACTGTTGGATGCTGTATCTCAGTGTTTCCCAACCGGTGTTCCGCGGCACACTACTGTGCCGTGAGACATTGGCTGGTGTGCCGTGGGAAGGAGGCGGGCGAGTCGGGCGGTGAGAGGCGGCGGCGGCGAGGATCCGCGTCGAGCCGGGGGCGGCTCCGCGGTGGTGGTGCCGAGCGGCGGGGCAGCGCGTGCAAAAGGGAGGAGCGCGAGACAGCGGAGGAGGAGGAGGCCGCATGTCCGGGCAGCAGCAGCAACAACAGCAGCAGCAACTCCCGGCGACGGCTCCTCAAGCCCCGCCGCCGCCCCTCCTCCGCCCGCTATCGCCGCCACCACCACCACAGCCGCCGCCGCCTCAGTTGCCGCCGTCCCTCAGTCCCTCGCTCTGCTGCCTCCTCCCACCCCCAAAGCTTGGAGGTTCCCCGGCAAGGGGGAGGGAAAAAACTTTCACTTTCGTGCGTCCCTCCCGGCGTGACGCTGCGCGCTGACGTCACGGGGCGGGGCTTTAATGGTGGTGTGCCGCGAGATTTTTTTTTCAGTAAACAGGTGTGCCGTTGCCCAAAAAGTTTGGGAAACACTGCTGTATCTGACCAGAGGCAAATGTGGTATGAGTTATGCCCTAGGGGTGGGGAGCCTCAGGCCCATTAGCCAAATGTGGCCCTCTAAGCCTTCCTCTCTGGCCCTTGAGATTCTCCCCAGGCCACACCCCCTATCAGTCCTGCTTCTCACCCACCTTGATGTTTTTACATGAGTAGAATATGTGCCTTTATTTAAAATGCATCTCTGGGTTATTTGTGGGGCATAGGAGTTCGTTCATTTCCCCCCCCCCCCAAAAAAATGTAGTCCAACCCCCCGCAAGGTCTGAGGGACAATGGGCCGGACCCCTGCTGAAAAAGTTTGCTGACCCCTGCACAAGACCCCCAGATCTTCATTTATTAAAGTCTCTTTGTCAGACAGCATCCCTGAGCAATGGACAGAGTCCTCTCGTGGCTGAGGAAACTCTGCGGCAAGGAAGAGGCCGAAGAAGAAAAAGGAGAACGCGACTCGCTACGGGAGAAAAGTTCGGGTGATGAGGATGAAGCACCCTACTATGGCACCATCAACGGAGGCAATGCTGCGGAGGCGTCCTGCGCTCCTTGTGTTGGCGCTGCCAGCCGCGGCTCCGTCACCTGCCCTACGTGCCAGGGCACCGGGAGGATCCCCCGAGGTAAATCTCATCTCCTGACCTTGTCTTGCCCAGGTTCTTCCAAAGCTAATCCAGCCAGATCTTTCCAAGAAGCCGACAAGCAGCTCTTGAAGGCACCAGCCTGTACAACCAGCTGATCCAGACATACTTAAAACAGCTGGTTTTTTTTTAAACAGACACGAATGTCTTCACAAGTTCTGCTACATCTTGCCTAGCCACTGTGATCCACTCGACGGTCACCTCCAGACTGGATTATTGTAACTCGCTCTACGTGGGGCTGCCCTTGAGACTGACCCAGAAACTCCAGCGGGTGCAGAATGCTGCAGCGAGACTCCTTACGAGATCTTCGCTGCTGAGATCACATTCACCCGGTGCTATACCAGCTGCACTGGCTCCCGGTGGAGTACAGGATCAGGTTTAAGGTGCTGGTTTTAACCTTTAAAGCCCTATACGGCCTAGGACCCTCGTACCTACGGGACCGCCTCTCCTGGTATGCCCCACAGAGGAACTTACGGTCTTCAAATAAAAACATCTTGAAGGTCCCAGGCCACAGAGAAGTTAGGCTGGCCTCAACTAGAGCCAGGGCTTTTTCGGCTGTGGCTCCGATCTGGTGGAACACTCTGTCACAAGAGACCAGGGCCCTGCGGGACTTGACATCTTTCCACAGGGCCTGCAAGACAGAGCTGTTCCACCAGGCCTTTGGCCAGGGCACAGCCTGACTTCCTCCCTCGGCAATCTTCGCGGAGCTCTGGCCCAATGGTTGCCAGAGGCTTGATTTAATTAATTTTATAATGAATGATTTTAGAGTGTTGTTTATGCTGTACTTTTGTACTGTTTTATTGTTGTTAGCCGCCCTGAGCCCGGCTTCGGCTGGGGAGGGTGGGATATAAATAAAATTTAGTTATTATTATTATTATTTATTAATAAGAAGGAAATGGCCCAAATTACATGCAATGTTCTGCATCGAGATGTACATACTCTTCTCTTCATTGGACCAGATCTGTGCTCCCCTGCATTGAGTGTTGTTTTCCAGACCTTTGCTTATTCTCTCTCTCTTTTCCTCTCTCTCCCTTCCTCCTCCACTCCCATTCCAGAGCAAGAACAGCAGCTGGTGGCCCTCATTCCATACGGAGACCAGCGGCTCAAGCCCAGGCGAACGTAAGTTGATGGTGCTCCCTGCCCTTCTTCCCGCTGTCTCTTTCCTAACTTTGCTGCCAGCAATCTGATTCTTTTGTGGCGGTTCTACTACTGCTAATCTGCCTTCCTCCTGTTTTTGCAGGAAGCTGTACGTATGTCTCACAGTGGCCATCTGCCTGCTGATGACAGGCCTCATGATGTATTTCCTGTTTCCACGCTCCATTGCAGTGGTCCCTGCCGGACTGAATTTCTCATCTATATCCTTTGACAATTCCACTTACAGCATCACCCTTAATATGACTGTGAGTCCCTGGGGCTTGGATCGCATTGATGTCACAAAATCTCTCCATTTTCTTCCTAAATTGAGATTGTGATTAACGAAATGCGTGGGTTGTTGTGGGGTGGTTGTTGTTGTTAATACAATTACTGGGCTCAGAGTTGCCCTGGAAGATGCATCTTCTTGAGTTAGAGGGGCTTCTAGATCAGAGATCTCTGCAACTTGGTTGTAACTGCGCTGCGTGCAGAGGAAAAATCCATTATGCCTATGAAAAGAGGCATCCTTTATCACCACACATGTTCCAAGGCTGAGAAGTGACATTCAAAGCAGGTTGTGGGACTCAACTTTGCCCCAAATTTAAGGCTTTATCTGTGGAACAAAGGAGCAGGTGACTAAAGGAGCCTGTTGTAAATGAGATTAGGAAAAATTAAAACTGCCTTTTTGTCTGGTCCAGGGGTCAGCAAACTTTTTCAGCAGGGGGCCGGTCCACTGTCCCTCAGACCTTGGGAGGGAGGGGGCTGGACTATATTTTGAAGAGGAAAAATGAACAAATTCCTATGCCCCACAAATAACCCAAAGATGCATTTTAAATCAAAGGACACATTCTACTCATGTAAAAACACGCTGGTTCCCGGACCATCTGCGGGCCGGATTTAGAAGGTGATTGGGCTGGATCTGGCCCCCGGGCCTTAGTTTGCCTACCCATGGTCTAGTCCTTATACTCAGCACATCACACTCAAACGCACATGGCACACCATACAGACGTGGGCAGAAGCAAGCAACGTCCTATGGGCAAGCGCATTTCCATTTTTGCTTGTATCCATCTGTGCTGGATGAGTACAAGACACCCAGAGGGCACCAGATTGGTTTATACAAAAAGAGTGAAGTTTATTACACCTGAAACTGTTTTCTGATCTAGTCTTGTCATTGACTTTCCCTCCTGCCAGTCATTCCTTAGGATCAGGGATAGGGTCTCAAGTAGTACCTAACAGGAATCTTCTACTGGGCTTAACCTAGTCCAAATATCAAGGCCAGTTCCATGTTCTGTACAGAGCTTTGTACTGCGCAGAGCTGGTTCTTGTTGGTCTCACGCATGGGTAGGCAAACTAAGGTCCAGGGGCTGGATCCGGCCCAATCGCCTTCTAAATCCGGCCCGCGGACGGTCCGGGAATCAGCATGTTTTTACATGAGTAGAATATGCCCTTTTATTTAAAATGCATCTCTGGGTTATTTGTGGGGCATAGGAATTTGTTCATCCCCCCCAAAAAAAATATATATATAGTCTGCCCCCCCCCACAAGGTCTGAGGGACAGTGGACCAGCCCCCTGCTGAAAAAGTTTGCTGACCCCTGGTCTCATGGAACAGGTGAGAACGAATCAGATGGATCACCTGATCTTTAGCATCTTCCTTTTCATTGTGTCCAAAATACTTTCTGGATCCATTGTGAAAGCCCTCCTCCATGCCTTAATCATATTTCACCCAGACTTCCCTTTGCTCCAGGCCTCAATCCCTGCTGTATTTTCCTTCTCTGCCCCTGTGTGTTTATCTAATGTACAGACTGGGCATTCCGCTTTACTATGGCATCATACATTTGGATAGGGGCGGCGGCAGCAGCAGGGTGCTCATTATGGGATAAATATTCAATCGCGGAACAGATGGACACACATGTACCAAGATGTCAAATTTATCAACTCATCCCACATAACTCATACTGCCTGTCTTGCTCTCTCTAGAATATGCTGAATGTGACAAACAACAACTTTTACACTGTGCACGTGTCTCAGCTTGCTCTCGAAGTCTTGCACAAGGCACTGGTGATTGGGAAAAACACTGTGACGACACAGCTGGACATCAGACCTTTACATGGGGCTCAGGTGAGGACCATGCTAAAGTGTGTGTAACGGAGAAGCAGTAGACAAGCAGCCCAAATTAACTCGCTCTTTCTTATTTATTTGTAGATGCATTACAGTGTCTCGAGTAAAATCATGATAATAACACTTAGTAAGTATGTCTGTGAAATCTATCCCTGCACTTGGGGGGGGGGGGGAATCTCAGTTCAAGTTATGCTGTCAATTGATGGAATTTTTTTAAATAATGACTTTAACCAATTATGGCTGGCAAATTTATATGTTTCAGACCTAAGGGAGATGCCTTTGTTTTAAAAAATCATTGAAAAAATTGACTGCTTTTAAGTGTGAATAACTTAGAATTTCTTAAATGTTTCAATTTTAGAAGGAAATATCAGCATTTTTTTATTGAGCTATATTAAAGCATAGTGTCCCCATTACAGTAATGTAGCACAGCTAAAATCGACTTTCAAATTAAGTCAGTTGAAGCCCATCAGTACTGCTCAAGATCCAGACAGATGGCTTAGTATCTGTTTAGTGAGTTACAGTGAAGGAAGAGGCACAGTGAGACTAAGTAGATGCTTAGGTATCTATATCTACGTATATCTATATCTATAATACGAGAGCTAGGATAGTTGTTAGAGAAGCTACAACAGACACACTTAAGATCCCGTCTGCATTATGCATTTAAAACCATATCATACCACTTCAAAGAGTCCACGGCTTCTCCCAGAGAATCCTGGGAACTGTAGTTTGTTAAGGGTGCCGCTGAGAGTTGCGAGGAGACCCCCCCGTTACCCTCACAGACCCAGAGCTCCTTGGAGAGAGGAATTGATTGTTGAATCACTAACTGTGTAGTGAAGATGGGGGGGGGGAGCTAAGGCAGAAAATTAGAAGGGCAAAGAACTATATATCTATCGCTTGTCTTGTGTTGCTGAGTTGCTCCTCAATTAAAGAAATATCCCAGCTTCAGAACTTGAGTTGGGGTCTTTATGCAGTAACTGAGGGACTGACTTTTAATGTCAACCTGGAGACAGACCATTGCGAGGGGACCCTGGGAACTTCAATCACACCTGTGTTACCTTTGTAGCGAATACATCTAGTCCAGCCCTGACTGCAGCAACTCCTACTTCCTAATATATTTTTAAACTGAGGATGCTGAGGGCTGTTGGTTGGCATCTGTCCGTCTCAAGACACAGTGGAGTGTGCCTCCAGGGGTGAAGTCAAACCACTGGAGAGTCACAGCGTCTGCTGTGGCTGCAGAGAGCAGCAACATTTAACTGCGGCCTCCTGCATTGTTCTTGCTGCGGTAAGAGTGCTGACCTCCACATTTCCAATCAATACCATGCAGATTTAGCTTCGGGGTGTCAGTATTTCTTTCCAGCCACCTGTTTGCTGAGGATGGGACCTATGAAATTCAGCATGCAGAACAGGGGCTCCACCCCTGAGTTGTGGGCCTGTTTGTGACAAGAGACAGAAAAACCCATCCCCATTAAGTTCTGCATGCAAAGCATTGGCATAAGCAGCTGGAAACTAATTATCTTCCCTTCTCTTTCAGCAACATTTGCACGTGGTCCAAAATAAAAGTTCACAATGTTCTCCTGCACATACAGTAAGCGTCATTTCCTTGACAGTAACCTGACGAGTTTCTGCTCTCCCTCTCCCGCCCTGCTCCCTGCTCCATCCTCAGTGCTTTCCTCCGGCCAGTAGCATAGATTTCCCCATGACAGTCCCTTTCACTTGGCTGGGCGTTTTCTTCCCACCACCAGTCAATTCATGACATCTTTTAAGCTCCGCTTTCTCCCTCTCGGTCCCAAGATCATGTCACCCTTCCCCAGAAGTCCTTGCACTGGCTCTACCAGCTTTCAATCTTTTAACGTTCTCCTCCTTGGCACCCTGATTCGTTCTTCTCCCCCTCTTTTCAATCCTACCATGCACAGCCTCGCTTTTCCACATACCTCTCGCAGTCTTCAGCAGTCTTACTCTCCTGTAAGTGCTGTGAATCTGGGCCCATAACCTGTTTTTGGGATACAGTGGTGCCTCGCAAGACGAAATGAATTCGTTCCGCAAGTTTTTTCTTCTTGCGAGTTTTTCGTCTTGCGAAGCACGGTTTCCCATAGGAATGCATTGAAAATCAATCAATGCGTTCCTATGGAAATCGCCTTCAGACCAGGTCTGGGGAGAGTCTGTCCCCCGACCTCTTCTGAAGCTGGGGGGGGGACAAGGGCTTTTCTTCCCACCGCCAGCCTTCAGAAGGCTGTTCTGAAGGCTGGCGGTGGGAAGAAAAGCCCTTCTCCCCACCTCCCGCCCCGCAAGCTCCGGGGACAGGAGGGCTTTGCTGCGACCGCCAGCATTTTAAAAGCCCCCGGGACAGCGGAGACTTCTCTGCTGTCCCGGGGCGATTTTAAAATGCTGGCGGGTGGCAGCGAAGCGTTCACTGCCACCTGCCAGCATTTTAAAAGCCCCCGGGACAGCGGAGGTCTTCTGAAGGCCGGCGGTGGGCAAAAGTCTTTGCTCCCCCCCGCCTGCCTTCAAAAGCCGTCCGGGATAGCGGAGAAACACGCTGCGCTTCTCCGCTATCCCGGGAAGGCAGGCGGGGGAGAGCAAAGACTTTTGCCCCCCGCCGGCCTTCAGAAGAGGTCCAGGACCTCTTCTGAAGGCTGGCGGTGGGCGAAAGTCTTTGCTCCCGACGGCCAGCATTTTAAAAGTGGTCCGGGATAGCGGGAAAGCACAGCGCACTTCCCTGCTATCCCGGACTGCTTTAAAAATGCTGACGGTGGGGAGCAAAGCCTTTCGGCCCCCGCCGGCCTTCCTGGACCTCTTCTGAAGGCCGGAGGGGGGCGAAAGGCTTTGCTCCCCACCGCCAGCATTTAAAAGAGGTCCCCGGAGATTTCCCTATGGGCTTTCTTCTTGCGAAGCAAGCCCATAGGGAAATTCGTCTTGCGGAATGACTCAAAAACGGAAAACTCTTTCGTCTTGCGAGTTTTTCGTTTTGCGAGGCGTTCGTCTTGCGAGGCACCACTGTACTGCCAGAGAGACGAAGGCATCAGGCAGGCCCCCAGTCGTCTCTGGACGATCACCGGTCTCCCGTGGAACAGCATCAGTCAATTAGCGACACGAGCCTCAGAGACATTCCAAGACCCGTGCACACTCTTTCAGCAGAGTATCCACAAC